GGCCGCCGGGAGCGTCTGGGGGCGCCTCCGCGCCGCGCTGGAAGTTTGTGCTGGTTGAGACGCGGGCTTAGTTCTGCTGTTAAGCGTGGGTCTCGCATAGAGAACTTGGAAAATAAGTGATGACCTGGCAGCCTATTGCCGGTGTGCTGCTTAGATGCTGCTGTCGTATCTAGAGTTACTTTGTTGTCGCCTCGAAAATAGAAATCAAAATCTAGATGACACTTTACTGAGGTGAGCGATATGTGGTCTGCAGAAATGTGCAAGTTTCTAGTACGGTAAACATTGCTATTTATAGCACCAAAAACATGGGTGGTATTTTGGGAAAATAGGTTGGGTTTGAATAATGAGATGTTTGCAGAATTGTACAAAGTACAGGTTTGTACAAGTAACTGCTTGAATCATGGGGATGCATTCGTATAGTTACACAGTATAGACTGTATTTAAAATAATGAGTAAATCAGGTAGTGATCAAATAACAGTTTTGACCCATGGAAGTTCTTGTGTTCTGATAGCCATCGTGGATACAGACTTCCTGTAATCTTAGAATAATTATTTTTAACTTTTAAGCAATTAAAACATAAGTCATGATGTAATTACTAACACTTATAAGTGAAAGGAATAACTCCTGGAGAAGAGCTGTGATGTCATGTGCATTGCAAGACATGGAGGGGGTACTTCTCAAAAGCAGTTCAACCTCAAAACATTGCTCAGCTACTGGGATGGAGTCATAAAATAGAAAAGTTTTATGGGAATGGCTTTTATGTTGTAGTACCAAGGGGAAGAAATTGGTATTGGAGGAGTAGAGTGTTGTTTACAGGTGTAACAGGTGACATAGGAAAAGGTCAAAATGGAAATAATATTGTAAAAAAAATTTGTTTAAAGGAAGGAGACTTTTCAGAAGATTAACAATTTTGCTTGATTTATAGTTTCTGTACACTTTCCTGAGCAGAAAATAGCTCATGTATCAAGAGGGAAGCTTGTGGATACAGTGAAACATATGTAGCTGTCGGTAAAAGTGGTACAGGGAAGTTGTTTGACTTAAAAATATTGCCTTGTGTAGGGTCTGCCATCCTCAAGAGGGTGTGAAGGTTGTCTTAGACTTCAGTATTTAGTGCTCACTTTCTGTGCTCTCTCTAGGCATGAATGGGGAGGCTTGGAGAACTTGTCATTCCTTATCATTCTGTGTGGCGGTGTTGTAAAAGAAACAGTTACAGGATTTTCCTTTTTAGCCTTTCACTTAATGCAAGCACGTAAATGGGACAGCACTGTTCTTGCATTTCAGATTTTGGAGGTTCTATTCCTTAGCTTTGCCTCCTTAAATATGATTGTTTTCTTCCTCCCTCCTCCATCCAGAACTTTAACTGACATTCTGCTTTGATCAAGTAATACACTAGTGAGAAATAAGGTGATATCCAGCTTTATAAATAGGTGAAAATCAAAATGCCTCCTGACAGCGCCCTACCATTGCTTATCGCTAGAATTACAGGAAGGGTTTTTGGTATTTTTGTCTGTTTATGTAAAACCTCAGCAGCATTTATGTGAGTTGCAGACAGGCAGCTAAATTGGTGGAACTGCCATCACACGACTTACTATTTATATGCTTGGGGGTTTTCCTGTTGGCTGGTTGTATGTTGCTTCTGCTTATAATTGATTTTTGTAATTAATGTCTCTCCAAATCAGCCTTTCTTTTTGCCAGTTTATAGTCAAGAACCATGTTTGCATTGTTTGGAGTGGCAAGCTTATTGGCAGCTCATCTGCACCTCAGTGGCAGTAGCTAGCTACATACTGAGGTTAAGAGTGGACATCCACATTTTCACTTCTCCTGATCCAAGATAAACACTAGATTTGGGAACAATGATGCAGACCGAGTGATGAAAATAGGTGAAAGCGGAGCGAGAATACCGTAGTGTATGTAAGGTGAAAAGAAGCTATGTGACAGGGGAAAAAAATTGAGTAAGAACATGAGGAGAGGAAATAAAATCACAACAGATGATTAGAATGTAAACATTTGAACTTTTGGTTGTCTGTATCAGCTACCAACTTTCCTTTTCAGAACTCTGGCCTGACAAGTTCAAGAGTTTTGGCCATCCTGTAGGTAAATATGGCCTCCCATAACTTCAGATAATAAATGCAAGTGCTCAAAGTTGAGGAACAGTAGTTACAATACTAGCTTTCAAGTTTTCATGAACACCTCCCTTTGCATGGCCGATTATATGCTTCCATTGTTCCAGAATGGGAGTGATAACCTTGAAATCCAATACTCTGCATCAGCTGTGCCTGTGCAGCAGTGAAAGTTGGATTCACGTAACCGTTTGTGACAAGTGGCACATAATCAATTTGCTTAGAACTGAAATCTTTATTTACCGCTTAGCAATGAGTGGGAAGCCTTCAGAGGGTGTGTAGGCCATAATCATGGAAACGTTTATGCCTAACTCAGATTAACATTTCTATATGTTAAGGAGAACTCACCTTTTCAGGTTTTTTAGCTCCTCAGAATGCAAGCTTCTTAACCCCACACTAGAGCGTTGTTTTAAATTTCCTAAAAGTTTTTTGATCTGTTTGTCTGTCCCAGCTTCCCTCATTCAAAATTTTTTTTTTTTTTTTTGAGATAGCCCTTACTGAGCGAAGAGAGACTATGGGTAGTTTGGTAATTTGCTTAAAGGATTGCAAAAACAGAAGACTTAAGATGTGTGTAGCTTAGGTAAATGTGCCATATGCTGAAAATATTTCTTCCCAACAGTTATGAAGGTCTTGTTCATTAACAGAGCAAGATTCTTCTCTGTTCCTGCTCATTATTTAGTTTTTATTATACTTTTGGAGATATTTTTGGTAGTAGAGTTAAGATCTTTAAGATCTTTATTTAGGAATACAGGTGTAAAGAATACTTAGAAATAGACTGCTGCATCTGTATGCTATCATCTGAGATATACTGGTTTTGGTAATGCTCGGGTTTTTGGAAATTCTGTAGTACCACTCATTAGAACTGTTAATTCCTTTTCGATAATACCAGATTTTGGAACTAAAGTTGTGATAAAGATGTTATCTCTCTTTTTATCCACTACTTTCAAAGGGATCTGGATGTAACAACTTCGAGGTGGCAGACTGTGGAAGCTGTACTTTTAAATGTTACAATTGTGAAATCTTTTTTCTTCCGAAGTGTTTTTGCAGACTGCCTGTGTAAGTTTAATTTGCAGATTAACCATTAGGAGATAGAGCTGATTAGTTCTGCTTACAGAATTGTTACAAAAATGTTCTTTTAAATAAAAATAAAACAAAAGCAATGTGGTACTAACTTGAAAAAGTAACAGTTGTGCAAAACTGTAGTAACCATTTGGGCTTCTGTTATGAAAATGGAAGCAGGAGTATTGAAACATTTAAAAATGCATATACAAGCATGTGTTGTGTCTTCTGATGTAGAGTAGCGTAGGATGCTGTCTTTCAGCCTGCTTAAATCTGAAGATGGCTGTGTTTTCCCTTGGACCTGTGGCTCGCTACCTAGTTAAGCTTAGCAATGTGGAGTTTGCTTTGCTAAGTACTTCTTGTGATTTTTTTGTTGTTGTTACGTGTAGTTCATGTCCCACTTTCTGATAGCTTCTGACATTGCATTAAACTGTAATTTGGGGGGGGG